CTACGACGCTGCTCGACGCTGCTTTCGCTCTCTCTCTGTTTGTATCTGTATGTTTGCTCTCTGAGCTACGGCGACGCTCAACGATGCTCGTCCTCTTTGAAATCATTTTTTGCCGCTCCCAACCTTGCGGAGTCTTTCTCACAATTAAGGAATCTTGTAGCGGGGTCGTCCAAATTTTCCTGGTTTGGTCTCCAAGAAGTTAAATTCCGTATTCAACCCAGGGGAGAACCAGGCACAGCGTAAGCGGGCGCTTGGCGTTCAATATTGTTTGTTTTACCGGGTTGTGGCTCTCCGAAATTTGGTCGCTAGCTCTCTAAAATTTCAATTTTCGAGACGACCGTTGGCGGGAAATCTAAGTTTTAACGATGTTCTTGACAACGATCCCAGTGGCTGGACGGTCGAAATTATTTGTTTTAGTGGGAGTCCGGGCTCTCCGGATTTTTGTCGCTAATGGTCCGAAAATTACACTTTTGCAAAAACCTTGGCGGGAAATTGACAACTTTTAAAGATATTCTTTACGGGGATCCCGGTAGCTGGGCGCGGGTCGTGGCTTTCCGAAATTTGGTCGCTAACTATCTAAAATTTTAATTTTTGAGACGACCGTTGGCGGAAAATTTAAATTTAAACAATGTTCTTGACGACGATCCCAGTGGCTGGGCGGTCAAAATGATTTGTTTCGGCGGGAGTCCGGGCTCTCCGAATTTTTGTTGCTAACGGTCCGAAAATTACACTTTTGCAAAAACCTTGGTGGGAAATTGACAACTTTTAAAGACATTCTTTACGAAGATCCCAGTCGCTCTCGGCTCAAAAATTGTACTTCTTCAAAATCCGTTGGTGGGAAATCCAAAATTGCGAATGATGTTCTTGACGGGGGTCGCAGTAGCGGGTGTTCTCATTTTATTTCGATTTGGTGTCCAAGAAGTCTACGCCCGTTAGCGACGCTCTTCCGACCGTCCTCTGGCACACTTTCTCGAGCTAACACCGAGTCTTCTCTTTTGTAGGTGACGCCATCGTCATTTCTAGATGTCTGATAGGTTGTCGTATCATATCTTCCATGTCCAAGAAGTCTGCGCCCGTTAGCGACGCTCTTCCGGCCGTCCTCTAACGCACTTTCTCGCGCTAACACCGAGTTTTCTCTTTTGTAGGTGATGCCATCGTCATTTCTAGATGCCAGATAGGTTGTCGTATCATTTCTTCCTGCCATGGATTCTTTAACCAAAAGATGTACTCAGAGTACTCACAAGATTAACCCTGTGAGATGGTTTCTAGACCTTTCTCAATGTAAGAAGAGTGTTGATGCCAAGAGTGTCAAGACGAAGAATGGCAGGTGGTTTCCGGACCTGCGTCAATGTTGTACACGCGGAGGCGAGAAGCAAAACCCTCTACCGAAGCTCAGTGCAACTGGTGAGAAGACCGCCAATGTCTGTTTGTTTCCGAAGCATCCGCGATCGAACACGACAACGAGAACGGTTATTGCGCAATGTCGAGCAGCAAACACAATGATGGGTCTCCGCTCAACTGGCAAAACGGGGAGTACAATCCAGATAGAGCGTCCAGGGAAGCGCCAGTGCCCGAACGCTGAAGGCGAACAATCCAGAGAGAGAGACAATGTACAGGGCATGAGCGAGAACTTTGTTGTGAAAGAAAAGCTCTACGGCAGCGTGGCGCAATAATTGCGTGATAACGGCACTGAGGAAGAGGAACCTAGTGACGACATGATGAGGAGGGCGAATCGAGCGACGACGATGATGAGGAGGAGGAAACGAGCGAGGATGCCGATATGCTTCGAGCGGAGGTGAAACGGATCGCCTCCAGTGCACGCCATCTTGTGTGGGACAAACTCCAAAGGCAGACCACATTGCTTCCTGTATGCATGCGGTCAAAGGAGGTTATGGCGGCGCCCGTCGACATCGTCTCAGCCGCACAAAAAATGATATGCAGGGCCGCCATCGTGGACATCTCGGCCGCGAATTTCAGCAGTGCATGGACCTCGCAGGACTTCGATGCACTTTACGCAATGATGGCGAAATGTTGTGGTCCAAATTGGGTCCTCTTCTTCTTTGCACCGCAGAATGTGCAAAGCGATGTCTTGCGTCAATTGTACCGTTGGGAGGACATCGAGCTCATCCCCGGGTCATGGAAACGCGTGGACAGGCCGCCGAGTGACGTCACAAGGTACACATCGCTACGAGCAGTCGGGACCTGATGACAATCGTGCTGCACGCTGAAGGAGGGGATCTGAAAAAAGTAACTGTCGCACCCCGTCTTCACAACGATCTCACCGAAGTGCATGTTGTGGAGGAAAAATTCGGGAAGTGTCTCGGAAAACACGGTGGCGTCGAAGGCGACGAAAGTGCCGCATATTCAATTTGGGAGCGAGAACCTGGCAAGTTGCGGAAGTTGTGTAATTCATTCGTAGGAGAGGCGGAAGGTGTGCTTTTGCTGGGTAGGGCGCACGCGGGTCTTGTATGGAAGTTATTGCTTGCAGGTAATAATGTCATTGCCAAGGACATTGCATACTTGACAAAGTTCGTCGACATACTTGTTAAGGATGGGAGATTTGAGTGTTGCATCGAGAAGCCGCGTGCCACACATCGCACGAACAGGGATATGTACCACAAGTTGGGACCGAAACGACTGAAGGTGTGGGAATACCTATTCCGCGATGCGCCGGATGGACGCCTTGATGGGGGATACACATATAGGAAAGCCAAGGTGACCGAGGCCCTCAAACATTTTCATGGTGCTCTAACTGGCGCGTTCGAGACATTCGTTGCTCGATGCGAGATCTTGAGGTTTGATCTTCACAAAGATAAACTGACGTTTAAGGATTATGCAGACCTCGCTAAATCGGGTGAAGGCTTTAACCCCGTTGACAGCGAGAAAGACTCGTCGGACTCCGACCTCGAGATCGAAAAGGACACCAATCCAACCGGGTGGTGTGGGAAGTCCGCTGACATGGAGCAAAGCGTCAAGGGATATGGACCGGGTCGATCAGAGGGGTGCTCGAACCTGCCACCCGCTAACAGTGTGGCTTCGGGTGTAGACCGGGTTGTATGTACGCCTATGGAAGACGACGAAGATGATGACCTTGATATTCCTGCTCAGCCAACTAAGCTCGCACCAGGCGATCCGATTCCTCCCAGATTTTGTGCAGATCCAAACAATGTGTATTTCTTGGATGACAAATACACCTGCACTAGTGAGGACAAGTGGGGCCATGATATCATTTGGCATGACGGCATTTTTGAGCCATGTATCCAAGGCAGGGAGTGAAAAATGGCGGTGAAGTATGTCTCGAAGGGTTGGAGACCGTTTGCCCGCATGGGAAAGGACAGTTGGCTGAAGACGACGGAGCAATGAATACTATACCGCTGTCGGAAAGAGAACCCCGGGGAGAGTGAAACATCCATCGCGGCAAAGGCGAAACAATTGTCCGACGCCTTGGGAGCCACTCGACAATTAGAGTACTCACACAGGTTTTACGAGCTGCAGTTGAGCCCCTCGTACGACAAAATTGATTGGAAGGTTGAGCGCGCCGCCGCACTCGATAGCATGGACGTGGACTTCCGAGAAAATGCCGCCCCTGTGCCCGAGGCAGCCACAGGGAACACGATGGGTGAACAAAGGAAAGATGGCGGGACGACGTTTGGCATGAAGCCTCTGTTGCCAGAGGCGGGGAACACGTGCGCAGGCAAAAACACTATCGGAGCCATCTCTGTCGCAACGGGGATACATCACAAGGTGAAAAAGTGTCACTCGACAAGCCGGCGGATGCGGGTGCCACATACGGGAGTCTCCTCGCGACAGGTGCGGCGCTGGCAGGCACATCGGAAATGGTGTCAGAGTACACTGCTGGGATGGGCGTCACGGGAATGTCGTTGCATTCGCCCATATGCACTAGCAAAGGTGACGCACACTGTACAACAACACCACAGGGAGGGGTCATAGGGAATGATGAGAATGGGGGAAATGCAGGGGGGTCTCCACGTTCTCGCAATATTGAGGACATGACGACAGACGATGAGGATGGGGTAGAAGGCGGAAAGGACATAAGCGATCCCACGCGTGCAGAACATGAGGGGTGAGACAGGGAATGAACTTGAGGGGAATCCTCTTCGGGGGGAAATTTAATATTTTCGTATGTGTGCTCATTTGTTTGAAATTTGGGTTTGTGGGCGGAATTTGTTCCTGTGTACAATCGACCTGCAGACTCATTAGTGTTCAATTTCCGGGATTTGAACTTTTAATTGTTGACAAGAAAATTGTGTGGTGAACAAGAGTGTGTCGTAGTATGCATGTGTGTCTCTCTATATTCGTCAATATGTTGCGTTGTGTATATGCATGTATGCCGTTGGGGTACGGTGATGAAAGGGGGCAAGAGTCAGGAGTGATTGGTCCGAAGTGTTGTCGTTCATCTAAGTGTAAGTTTAGCGAAACATTGATGACGTATCTTGAATACATCATTTCCGTTTAGCATCTTCTGCTAAGGCACTTGCACATGTACAAGTATCTCAAATGATCGCCCTCCCCGTTTTTAACACCGCCTGCCCACCCGTTTCTTACTTTCCTGTAAGGGCGACCATTTTTTACACCCCTGTCCGCCTCGGTCACCGTTGTTTACACCGTCGTCAATGTCGTATTCGTCGTGCTTGTCGTGTGCAGTGCAAATTACAACAACGGATACAAGAAAGTGCAAAAGAGGGTGGACAATGCGCCTCGCAACATCATCTTTATCAGAGAAGGAGATGAAAACACTCTCACATGTATGCCGGGAGTACGGGAAAAGGTTCCCAATAGCGAGCACACACAATCACGGGGCGAACGAAGTATTGAAGCTAACTCGAGACGAATTTATTTTACTAGTCAACGAGCGGAACTGGTTAAATGACAACGTTATCAACTTCTACATGAACCTCATCGCACTAGACAACTGGTGTAGAATCACACACGTAGAATGCGACGCCGAGAACGAAACTGTGATTAGAATCGGAAAGGGTCGCATTCCTAGAATATCAGTGCTGAGCTCTTTTTTCTTCGCCAGACTTTTCGACAGCGAAATGAGATATCAAGAGCGAGAGGTGCAGCACTGGTCGAATGACATTATAATAAGTAACATGGACTTGATAATTGCCCCTTTCCATATCACACACACGAACCACCGGACCCTCGTTATGGCTGACTTCAGGAGGAGGAAATTTGAATTTTACGACTCCCTCAGCCCCGACAAATAACTGGCAGTCAAAGTGACCGGCGGATTTGCAAAGTTTTTGTTTAAAAGACCAGCAAGGCAAAGAGGTGGACACGAAACCGTTTAATCACATATGGACCATAGAGGGCGTACCGAAACAACGTGACACCAGCTCGTGTGGGGTCTTCATGCTCGCATACGCATCGCTATTGGCAAGGGGTCACCTTCCGCCTTTCTCGTTCACCGCTGATGACATACCCGCAATACGTCGTCGAATGGCTTTAGACACAGTGGCTCGCGAGTAGTATGAACCTGCTGCTGGATATTGTGATTACATGCGGATGGATGTGGGTAACATTAAATTGTTTGTCATGGAAACAGTGTATAGAAGATGACAACCATTGCTCAAAGTTCCTGCCCCTTACCCTTTGTCTTTTACCCCTTATCCCTTACCCCCAAACCCCTTACCCCTTACCCCTTACCCCTTACCCCTTACCCTTGCATGTATACCCATACCCCAAATTCAAATGCATTTTTTACCCTAAAACACCACGGAAATAACAATTTAAATTTCGTTCAAAAAATATAAAATGTCTGTTTTGACGAAATCGCTGTTACAACCAAAAAGCATAGGGGGGCTAGCCCGACTAGGCATAATAGATCTCACAATACAGGTACAGACCCTCCAACTTAAGTGGGTGATAATGCTGATATTTTCTTCAGAAAGCCCCTGGCGGATCCTAGCCCTGGAGCACATCGCCCGCTTGGCTCCACCCGCCCCACTGAAAATCAACCCGCCTACTTGGATAGAGGATCACTACTGGTCCATCCCCCGCAAAATTCACGGTCAGGCAGTGGAAACGTTCTGGCCCACCCTGTTGAAGAGCTGACGCAGGAAACCCCTCCGCGAGAAGCGGCCACCAGAGGGTTGGGAGGAAGTGTACCGACAACCATTGTTTGACAATCGGTGGATCGCCCCCCACCATGGGCAGATCTTGCACAGCTCGACAGCCCCGTGGAAAGGATGGGTCAAAAACGAGGTGCTCTGGGTCGGACACTTGTGGGACCAGGAAAGAAAAAATTGGAAGACGGCACCCCAACTTCGAGATTCCCTCCAATACTTCCATTGTGTGGAGAAACACATGGAAATAATACTTCAAACAATCCCCCTGACCTGGTACAGGCTCCTCAGGCGTGGGCCTACCCTAGAGGAGGGAGACTGAGTGGCTGTGGTGAGCGAGGAGGATCGGATTGGAAAAATTCACGTGGTGCGGACTTCCGACGTATTAGTGGAATATTACACCATTGGGGTGAAGGGGGGACTTCAAAGCTCACGAGACAACTTCGAATGGAGGAACAAATTGGAGGTGTTCCAAGTGCGAGTATTGGACGAGGGAGAGGACCCTACTGTCTTCCAACCTCAAACGCCCATACACGAACTGCCAATCGGTCCACAAGAATGGCAGTGGCAGGCAGCGTGTAGAGCAACAACGAGGTCTAACAAAAAAATCCAACTGCACACCCTCTCCGTCAGATCTACTTACAAAATGCTTCGTCCGAAGAGGGTGTTGCGGGATCAAATCAATGACAGATGGGCCCGACACCTGAATGTGAACAAAACACTCCTCACACCCATTAAGTGGTTCAACAATAACAAAACCAGGCCGGCAAAAATCACATCTTTGCAATGGCAGATTGCCCACCGCTGCCTTCCAACTAATGCCTGGTTGATCGACCCCACCTACCTGGAACAGAAAGGGAAAGCACTCCCATGGTGCCACAGATCCCTGCCCGTGTTCCCAGCGCAAAAGCGGAATGAGACCATCGAACACATATTCATGCAGTGTCCGGTGGCAGTACTGACATGGAGCTCATGGGATCGCACCTGCCGGAAAGCAGTGTTGGACGTTCCCTGGCCTTGTCCATGGCAAGCTATCCTGGCGGGACACTGTCCACTGTCCAGCAATAGAGAGTGCACCCCTTTTTACAAATAACTTGTTCAATCTGGGTAGACGGTCAGTGTTGTGGGCACTTTGGTGGCAGCGGTGTCTCCTTGTCCTAGAAGGGGTAAAAATAGAGGGACATGAACTGACTGGGTAAATAAAGGAACTCATGCAATTGGAGCTGACAAGGAGATGGAGGGACCTCAAATCTCAACTAGACATTTACCAGACAAGTCAGGATATGCAGACAAGTTGGGGCTGATCAAACCGGAACGCCAACTAGTGCATGACCATTTCCTCATAGAGGTGGACAACCCGGAATGCATAACCGTTCTTGCTCTCTACTCGACAGACAAGCAGCTGCTCACGAGGAACAGACAGCTACAGCTTAGGGGCAGACTGGTGCAACTTGCTGCTTGGTCCCGTGCTAACCCCCAATCTGCCGATGAGAAAAGAGAGTACTTGATGACATCGAACTTCTGAGTGGAGTTTCGATTCGCTCCCCTATGCGTGCAAGGGCCCATACTGGCAGATCTGAAAAAAATAACCCATGTAAAAGGATACATTACCGACCTTCCCCACTTTCTGGGGAAGAGAGACGACTGGTTGCTCGTTGCGGTTGACTGGGACCCTGAGTACCCTTTCCCCCTAAACGAGGAGTGGAGATACTCCCAGGGGGCAAAGAGTTTTCGCTCCTTCTCAATCACAGCCAAGACCCCTGGTGCTATGCCTGCAAGCAGAAAGGCCATCTCTGTACGGACGACCTGTGCCCAAAGAACAGCCACAAATTGAAAATCAAAGGGCTGGTCACCCCCCACCCCACAGACGAGGAGAGGTGGTACCCGGAGGAGAAGGAGCTTCAAGGCTGGATGTTCAGGGCATACGCTGACGGGCGTCCTGGGAAATGGATGTGGCACAGGAAAGGGCCGGCCAACTGCTTTTCCTTCTGGGGCCGATGTGATCATAACCAACGACGATCACAAACACAAAGGCAAACAAGGGGCTTCCCCACAACCTGCTGATAGGAAGAACTGTCGACACCCACCTGTGCATGGTGCACAGAAGACCACTGCTGGGGTGGAAGGGGTGCACAAACCACCCGCAAAAAAAATACGGCCAAACAAAGTGATGAGGCAGACCCGCCTAATGCCCTGGATGTTTCCACCATACCCAGAAATCTGTCCTAATGACCACTAAGAACAACACAGACAAGCACAGCAAAAAGTCAGGCCTGTCCAATGCCCCAATTGCCGCCAATAAGTCCAATAACTCTGGCCCACAGCCCCCCCTGAGAATCTATAAACCCAAATCAGTGGCAGACGTGGGCGCAGACACACTGGGATCAGAACCCACAGCAACCCCAGGATCTGACAATGAGAGGGTACAGGGGAGAGTAGGGCATCCAGACACAGCTGGACCACGACAGTGCCCTGCCACAAACACTGACGTTGTGGCTCAGCAGCAGTCTGACGACAAGGGTGAAGGGGGAAAGGACAGTACATAACTAAAGGGGGCTGCAACATGCTTGCCCACAAGGAGCCGGCCTTGACTGAGCAACTACCCCGAGACCCTGGATCGGGCCCTTGGCTCCAGGATGGAGGCATTACTGTAATAGAAGTAGATGCCCGGATCCACTGTGATCGACCACTCACCCCCCCCTTGATCCAGGGACAGGCCATACAGGGAGGAGACGGAGAACGACAGCACACCACAGGGACACAACACAGCCCGGCCACAGCGGCCAACACAATTGCTCTGCTGCAGAAGCGGCAATTCCCCTTCCCCCTGAGCCAGGATCAGATCACGCAGAGACTGGAGTGTGGGGCATGGCACAGCCAGGCCAAAAACACAGATACCACTGCTCAGCACAAGACCGACAGCAGGGGCAAAGGGGGAGGAAGACAGCACAACACTGGTGGGGACAGTAACATGCCTACCCATAATGAGGTGGTCAAGACTGAGCGACAACCTCGGGACCCTG